GATTGAAGTCAATTTGGTAGAAAAACTTAACATTCATTCATCATGGAAAAATGAAATATCCAAACATCGTCCCCATTACGTTAGTTACGTTGTCGTAGATCCCAACCGAACAGTATACAGAACAAACTGTGTAAATGCGTTAGTTACAAAAGTAAAGAAACACTACGGAATACTTAATGTAGAGATAGATATTGGAAGCTATCAGTACATATCCTATCGAAAGACAACTATTCACTCAAATTAACTAACGGTTGTTTTCCGTTCACTGTCAACCACGAATGAGTTTTAAGAAGCTAACATTCGGTTCGCTCTACTGTATATGAAGTGTGTTTCAAGGATCATAACAGTCAGTCATTATCAGCATAGAGCCTAACACAGAATTGTGTTGGCTCAAGTCGCCATCTCATGTCAACACAACGAGAAGTATATAATAATCACAATGAAGATCACTGAATATTGGAAATCTGGACAAAAAAGTTTGAGTGGAAAAATACGTATGAATGAATACTGGAATTCAAAATCTAGAACATGATAAAGAGTTAATTCATCTGCTCCTCAACCACTGATCGCTATTATCATAAGGAGCCAACTAAGTAACATGTACCTCTCAGCATGGCTAAGACTAAGTCAATGACTTCATAGATTAATGTCATATCTTGTTTTGGCCAATCTATATTTTTCCAACCTACTCATATTGCTAAATCATCAGGCGTCAAGGTAGTCAGTGGTTAAGGTTACGTAACACACGTCTTAGCCACCTCAGTTGATGAAAATTAACAAACTGATCAACCGGTTTGTCATATTTGCCTATTATTCTGTGCTCAACATTCCTCATTCGGCTTATCCATGATACGTTACCAATCCTCCGAAGATACTCAGGATCGAAAACTCTGACTACACATGTCTTTTACTTTCACGAACCATGTTCCACATATAAAGGATAGAACAGAATAGGTTGCTGAGCAGAAAAAATATACCATTTGTTTGGCAGAAGGATATCTCGCCTACGTCATAAATGACTGCATATGTCGAAGGTTAACCCAGCTTTCATTAGACACTAGCTCACCAGGCTTAATGAAAGTTCTGAAACAAGTGAAGTGACCAACGCATTCAACTACTTCACTCTCTATTGCTAGTTTATGAGTCGACACAGATTATTCCTGAATAAGCAATTTCCATTTACGGGGAAAGGAACGCGCTTCAAACATCTTAGCATTTTGACAGTCTTAAAAACAGGACTATTTTATCTACGTTGATAGGCGATCCTCCTCATGAGAAATCAACTCCTGGGGAAATGGAGAATGAGAGGTTTCTCTAGAGTCGATACATCCATATTCTGATCTTAAACAAGTCTTTTCAAGATTTACATTTCACGTATTCTTGTTATCATTGTTTGGTTATTGATTAATACAGTGTATAGAGTATTAGCTTCAAACTGGTTCCTCAGTTGATTTTTGTCCATTCTTATAGTGTGAAACTTTAGTGGCCCGTGATCTGACTCCCTGTTTAAACGAGCCAATCAATATTTGTTGGACATAAATCTCCCGCTTAATTACGTATTTCATACATAGGTTAACCCCGTTTAAGCGGCTGTGGTAATAAGAAACCAAATACGGATTAAGTTGGATAAATTTATCGGGTGAATTCGTTTACTCAGAATGTCATTAAGACGTGAAGCAGAAAAGCAAAGCGGAGAAGGAAAGCGTCTCAAATCTATTTGGTAAAGCATAACACCATTTATAATCTGACAGAAAGTAAGCTAAGGACATTTGCTACACGGAGTATGTGATATACACACATACGCCCATATAACGGCTAAGGTTATGAGCAAATAATTGACGAAATGTGTGAACGATGACGAAAGAACAAATGAATCGGTCTGTCTAATGGCCGGAATAATCTGTGAGGGGGTGACAGCACCACAAGCGATAAAATGATCAGAGGTCGAAACCAGTGAAATGGGATTAGATCCAGTTCTTGGACTCACGCTAATATCTCAGACAATCTATCTGTCGAAACTAAACTACTGTCCTCCAAAACCTCAGAAATGGACACAACAAAATCTCTCTTGCTCTAGATTAGATATAGACTTTTCAATTTCATTGACAGTTGGGAGGCTTCTCTCGATTTCCAATTAAGGTTGTTTGGAAATAATACATAATAGGAAGATAACTGCAACCTATTTGGATCACTCTTTAAACCACTCTGCCCATCGTTCGAATCTTCAGGACTGAGAGTGAATAACCGTTCCGTGAGCTCCCGAGATATTCACACTGACACCTACATACTTGTCTTCTCTAAGAGTTTAATGTTACCCACAGTCACTGATGCACTCGCAGCAGTTTGGATATCATGTCAAACTTCACTTTGTCAGAATCATCTTCTCCATGATCCACTGATTGCTCAATTGATTCTCCCCTAAATGGAATCTTGACCTTTCATTTTAAATTGAGATCTAACGGGTACCCCTTTTGTGGCTTTTCTGTGCCCAGTAAGACGTAGGCAACGCGTGCTCCCATTGGTAGAGCATGACCACAGTCCAAGCATGTGCTGCTCAAGAAGGTGTGGCAGTCTGTTACTAGGCATCTCTAACAATGGGTGATGGAGGTGTGCTCTGTATATGTCCACTGTTGTGTGGACGTTGGGGACTGGCAAAATAAACAGTATCTCTTTTTCTGCCCAACATTTATGATTGCTAGGAATAAGCGGTTATGTGAGGATAATTTCAGGAGACGATCACTGTTACCTACTTGCTAATCTGGGTTGCCATAAGACCAACATGAGTGTTTTTATTTTGACTTGGCCTACCTCCTAGGAATACCACAGTCAAGTGTATGGCTTCCTAAAAGTGACAAATTTTCTTGTAGAACTAATCTTTTGTTCCATCCAAACTGCACTCAGTAAGGGTATAGACAGAAACAATGAAGGATCAACTGCACATGTCGGTCTTCCCCAGCTCTTACTGTCTTATTGAGACAGACACCATACAAACGGCCACCAACGGAAACTAAGTTAATTGAGTATTCTACTTTCAGACTTGGTGTTATACCTGTATCAGCAAAGGCATAAGAAGTCGATGTCGTGTCTTGAGATAGATGGTGAATTGTGTGGGTAAACTGTATTGACTAGTTGAGGCTAAATAAATAACTATGATTCTGTATATGTGTTTCGGAGATAGCACGCTTTGATTGTACTAGATTCTAAGATCTTAGCTAGTGAAGACTGTTTAAACTATTAAAACTCTCATAAATAGGGTTCTTAATACAAGTGAAAATCATTGGATATCATGCTGACCGAGAGGTTTATAAGCAAATGAAACAGACCTATCGTATTTCAATAAATAAACGTTGAAAAACACAGACGCTAAAATATAGACATCAATTACGTCTACATAAACACCAATTCGTAGGTAAGCATCACGACGCATTCACTGTTGTATTAATGTATGCAGATAACTATAAACATAAATCGAACTTCGAAAATTTGGAAATTTTGAGCAATGCAACTATAGAGAATACCAGAGTAGCTATTAAAAGCTTGGTTCTGATCAGTGAATATGTATTTGCTGACAGTTAACCAAACTCAGAACCAAAAAAGGTATTTACGCACAAACAAGATGGAAAACCAAGTTATCACGGTAATCAACCGATTTAGGTATGAATGAATTAATGACACAAATGATGGGACCAATCACACTGTTAGTCATTAACATGGGTTACCAGAATACCCAAACTAAAAGCCTTGCCCACAACAGTAATATTGATTATGAGACCATTTTGTCCAAGAATTGAATGTTTTCGTGAACAGTAATTTCTACTTCATTTTCTATCGTACAATAAGCTGTTTTTTCTTAAAATTTAGTTATCTAATTCAAAGAGTAGTTGTGAAAAACAAAATACAACAAAAATAATCAAATATTTGGTGTCAAATAAAAGAATGCCTATGGTCGTACCCTTTTTTCGTGTGTAGTTATTTAAACAAAGCTTACGCGCGTCCATATATATTTGAGGAGTGTTCAACTCAAGACGTTTAACATGGATCAACAACCACTATGACACATCACTTGGCGATACAAACCTTTAAGATGAACATTCAAAAAATGAGTGCTTCAACATTAACTCAGTATATAAAAAGTGAAATTTATTAGTTTACATGTTTAATGGTAATCAGACAATACAACCAAAGATGGGACATATCCGATGACATTTAGTGATAAATGATCATAAAAGCCGACCACGGTTCACTTTATCTACTCAAAGAAATACAATGGGAAGTGGCCTTTCCAGAACGTTTGGGACTAACCTTCCATAGGACTTCGCAAAGACTGTTAAGGATGCATATTTTACGAATACTTTAGAATGATTAGTATATAACTCCACAAGTTAATTACTGACATTCAAAATACCTGGATAATTTTAATGTCAGTCTAATTGCTGCAATAACTGTAAAATTGTTGCTTTTCGTTGTTATTCTTTTTAATACATATAACCGATAAATAAAATGTTATCAAAGCAATGGGAAATTTTTGAGTAAACATTTTTTTCAAGAAGACACTAGCTTTCTCGTTATCTTATCAAAATATAAGGTATTTGAAATGATGACTCAAGAGGGATTATTAGTGGGGAAGTGCGATTTTTATGAAACCTTACTTTGTAGTATCTTTATAAAATATCACTATTAAACTATTTTAGAGGAAAGTCAGTTTACTTCGAAAGTGAACCTCTCCTAATTTTCATTTGAAGGTGTCTTTTGGTTTCACTATCACCATATGACAATATTCCATAATTCACACTGAAACGTGTGCAATATTGATTTTAAATCATCTAATAATTTTTTAGACCGTGACACCTCAAGTCTCGTGACTAAACTGCCTAGTAGAATGGAATAATATCGATACTGTCTTCTTTAATTAATACCTTTATGCAGGTCCAATAATTGCTAGTGATTTATTCACAACAAAGACAGTTTGGATTGATATCAGTAAAAATGAACAAAAGACTATCAAGTAATAACATGTATTTTTGGGTCGAAAATTTATCAGTATAAAATTAAGTTCCGAGTAATGTCTATCACAAGTTTCTGTTTTTATATCTACATTATCTGTCTAAAAATAGCACATCGTTTAAATAAACAAGACAAAACAATAAAGCATTTCATTTTTTACAGTTTAGATACAACAAAATTGAAATATATGTATAATGCACACAACAGTTGAACTTTCACACCAGAAAATACTGGAATCCTTAGAAAGAGCTGTAGTGGCGGCAGTAGCAGTAATACTAGGTTAACCGACTATTTGAATCACGTGGCAAATGTTGAGGATGGATCTGTGAAGATGCCGTTTGGATACTTGCATCACTCATTTCCATAGTAGTTGAGCTCTGACTACTTAAATCTGCCAACAACGATAAAATATACGCAAGAACAGCAGAGGCATTTTCACTTGGATCACTAGGACCAAGTAATTCTTGCATTCCTTTTAATAAATTAGGATTTGCTTTCAGTGCTTCAGTGATAGATTCTTTAAAACGGTCTATTCCAGAATCTGCGAAATCTGCCAATAAGTCTCTTAGCTGATTCTTAAGATTAGTAGTGGAATCGGTGGGATCAGTAGAAATTTGAGGATGGCGGAGTTGTGTCATGTTGAAACTACTGTCTCGAAATCCGTCGCTAGAGAGTTTGTTTGGAATGCTTTGTTTGACTGATCCAGATCTACTACTTGTTGAATATAGTTGGTTTCGAGATGGTCCATTTGAAACAGAATTAGCATCTGCTATGGAAATACGGGATGTGGCAGCTACAAAAATAACGCTTAAGAAAATAACCCACCTGGGAACTTGGAAGAGGATGTCTCTTGGCTAATTCTCTGAGCCTTTACTTCCTGCTCCTGCCGCAACATGCGTCGCCTTCTTTTGCTCCACATTTCATGACAATCTTGGTCAACAGGTAATCTAAGAAAGAATGGGATATTTCTATAATAAATACCTTGGTGGAGAAATTTTTGTAGGGTCAATATTCCGTAACCACGGTGACGCTAGCGCTTCACGGGCACTGCACCGCTTTTGGGGATCCAATTGAAGCATATGATCAAGGAGATCTACAGCGTGCGGTGGAATGCTAAGCAGGAAATAATAATCATAGTAGTCTTACATGTGATATTCTTCCCGGAGTCTGCGTCTGTACATCTTCTTAGGCTTTATTGTCGAGTAGAAAGGTAATTTTTCAACATTAGGCCATATAGCTGGATCTGGATACCCACAGATTCGTGATATGACTTCTAATTGTTCAACTTCTTCGCTAGCCTGAAACATTGGTCGACGAGTGAACATTTCTCCTAATATACACCTTAGAGATGTAAAAACTGTGACACTATTATCCTTACCCGCAAGACCATATGTCAACGGCTGGGCCATATCTTTCTTCACCAAGGAGTAATTCTGGAGGTCGATACCACAGGGTTATTACTTTATTCGTGTACGGTCTTTCTTTATCTCCAGCGATATATAAACGTGCCAGTCCAAAATCCGCTAATTTCAGCTGTCCTCTGAAAAACCAATAATTTAATTAACTTTATTACTTGTTGTTAATCAGGATATTAGAACACTTTATGTCACGATGAAGAAAGTGTCTATCATGACAAAAACTAAGGCCATCCAAGAGCTGCTTCATCAGAGAAGCGATATGCTGTTCACTGAAAGCCACCAATCCAGACTCTAAGATACCATAAAGATCATGATCCATGTAGTCGAAAACTAAGAAGAAAGCACCTTGTACAGTAAAACAATGAATAATGAAGAGCATTACCTTTATCTTTCTTAAAGTCAGTAGGATCGTCCTTGTCTGTAACGATTTCGCATAAATTAACAATGTTAGGGTGTCTGAGTTGGCGAAGTATTTTTATTTCTCGAACAGCGGTTATGGGAAATCCCTCCCTTTCGTTTTCTAGCCTAACTTTTTTCAGTGCTTTGTATTCCCCTGAAATAAACATCGTAATACTATGAGTAAGTAAATACTTACCAGTGATTTTATCTCTTGCTTTATAGACATGACCGTACGTCCCTTCACCAACTTGAATTAGTGTGTCAAAAGCCGTCACAGAACGCTCTCCCCATGTCTTGTTATTACGACTTTTACTTCTAAGTGCGCAGATCCTTTACAAAAAGAAGCGAAATTCCTGTTAGTCAAAATACAACAAACTCCAGTGACCCGACGATATATATATAGTGAATGAAAGGCTTAAGTTACAAACAATCAACCTCAGGAGACTGACGGCCAAAATTAAATGTCTTATGGGCACATTGGAAGGTAGTCAACACAAACTCACACCATTATGGTACACATACTGAAGGTCGTGACAAGCGTAATAGTAACCTGGAACTTGAAGATCACTCTTATTATTACCTGAAGGCTATTTTCGACATCTTTGAGCGGCATTTTAAAGGCCATATTTACTAAATTACTTTTAAAGATCGTGTCTTATAAGTAATAGCATACACTTGAAATCATATGCATAGATGTATCCTTATCTGGAAGTTATATGCTGATACTGACAAGTGTGGCTAATTTAAGTGGTTTGAAAGCTTAGCGTTACTTTCTTGAATCAATCTTTATTGACCCAGTTGACAAGTTCGAAATAATGGCATAATAGATACTAAACGACAAAAATAATAGCTTGGGGTTACAGGACATAGAACTATACATCTAGCTAGTTGTACGTTTTAACACCAGAATAAGCAGTTCTAATATCAGTTTAACAGTATACTTGACCAATTTTTCGATCGTTACCAGTCAAAAGTGAAATACGTTTGGTGTATTTCAGTAGCATCTCAAAGGTGATTGACACAGAACTACCTAATATATCACGAGGATTCTACTTGACTGTTGTATTTTTTGGCTTATAAACGAAGACTGATTTTCAATACCTCTGCTTGTGATTTACTTACCTTAAGGATATCCACTTTCATGTTATTGGTCTTGTATTATAAGATAGTTTTATGGTTCATGAAGATGTGCTTAAATTTAATTAGTACCATACGACTTAGTGAGTGAGGTGCATGACCGAAAATACATTTTCATCTCCAAACGTCCCAACTTTCAATCAAAATAACCAAACGTGAAGGATAAGAGAACCAACAACATACTTGGGACGTTTAGTTATCCTTTGCCTGCTGGCAGGTTTCACTGTCGACCCAGGGACGGAATGCTTTGGTGACTTATTAGGAAAGATAGTATCTAGGTTTGAGCTGTCAAAGCCAGGAGGCAGCGGGAGTTCCGTGATAGACGGTTTTTTATCTTCACACCTGAAATACGTAAGTATAGGCTAAAATGTACACTTACGGAGTCTCCGTAGGTAGAGGTAATTGGTGTGTTTTTAATAACTTATTTGTTTGTGGCAAATCTATCCTATGAGAATCTTTTACGGTGGAATCCGGATTGGAATCTCGCATGGCAGTTCCCTTAGACAGTGGTGTGCTGACTGAGGAGGTAACCAAGCTTGACAACTTTTTACTTGGCTCTGGTGGCAAAGCTATTTCATCTAATGGGATTAGGGAGGACTCAGATTTAGGAGCTTCGAAACACTTCACATTTGATTGTTTTGAATCACGTTCGGTGAATACTGGGCAAACGTCTTCGGTTTCGTGTGTCCCATGAACGTTTTGAGCCTTTAAAATTTTCTCCCTAAAGTTGTGATGTTTTGATAACTCTGACATAAGACTGGATCGAAACTTGAAGGAACTGATATCCGTACATTCCGGAGAGTGACGCCTAGAAACAGGAACTTTTCTACCACTGCTATGACTGCGTGAACGCTTTTTGTGCTTTTTCTTTCTAAAACAAATTTTTGTTTGAAAAAAATAATCGACACCAAACCTCTTAGGAGCATCATTAGGGGAGACTTCAGGTGACCAGTCACTTGTCCTTTTGTGCTTGTGACTAGAATATTTAGATGTATGGTTTCCATGTTCCTTCGAGTGGTGAGAATGTTTTTTGTGTTTTCTTGAGTATTCATCTCGAAGTTGATAACTCTCATCGTATGTATTACTACTACATTCATACTGACGGGAAGTTAATCTAAGAGCCTGAAAATAATAAACGTGGCACTAACCGATCGCCACACAAATCATAGCGGAGAGACTTTGGCCTTTGGTGTGAAAAAGTTAGGTTTCGAAAGCCTCACAACTTACATCCTAGGACTTTACAGAAGAAACACAACTGACACCCATATATACAAAAGTAGCGCGCTTGGGATCCTAAATCAAATGACTATATTTTCATTTGTAATGAATAGTAAGCGTATTTACAGCCGATACTTTTGGATATAGACGAAGAGAACTTGAAATTTTCGGTAAGCAGAGTATTTAGCGAAACATGGGTGCATGGCAAAGATTATTAACAAATTAATCCAAGATAAACCGTCCATATAAATCTGTTCTTTCGCTTGAAAGAGAATAAGTTTATTAATCTGGTGATATGCTTCTCTCATCATTATAACATGTCTGCTTTTCAAAGACTTGTATGTATATTCTGTAAAAGGGTGATTTCCACCACCGTTGGATTAACGCTAGACGACATCATGTAAGAATAATTATTCATCGCTATACAAAAATATTGGTTTAATTTATTTAATCTGGTTGGCGTTATTTTAGCACGATTTTTCTCTACCGAACGGGTTTGCCGTCCTCATGCCCAATCCTTCTCCTTTGCTCTGGCTTAGGACTAACAGTAAATCTAGATGAGCTGCAGGTGGAAAGCAAGGTCCCCAAATACAACACGAAGAACAACAACCCAATCACACTTGATGGAGAAACTCTGGAAGAGGTGGAAACATCCACGCACTTGGGAAGCATCATTGATGAACAAGTACGATATGATGCACATGTAAAGGCGAGGATTGGCAAAGCAAAGACCACATTTCTACAGTTGAAGAACATATGGAACGCAAAACACCTGTCAACCAATATCAAAGTGAGAATCTTCAATACGAACGTCAAGACAGTCCTACTGTACGGAGCTGAAAATTGGAGAACTACCACATCCATCATCAAGAAGGTACAAGTATCTATAAACATTTGTCTACGTGAGATACTGAATATCCGTTGGCCGGATACCATGAGCGACAACTTACTGTGGGAGAGGACAAAGCAGCTCCGAGGTGAAGAGGAAATTAGAAGACAATGGAGGTGTGTATGAAATCATCAAACTGCATCATTAGGTAAGCACTAATTCGGAGTCCTGAAGAGAAACGAAAAAGAGGAAGGCCAAACAACTCAATACGTGGGGAATTGGAAGCAGACATGAAAAGGATGAATAGCAACTGAAAAGAAATGAAAATGATTGCCCAGGACGTAGTTGAATGGAGAGTGGTGGTGTGCGGCCTATGCTACTCCACGAGGGATACTAGGCTTGAGTAAGTAATACATATACATTACTATTTTAAAACAAGTTCCGATATCATATTTCTAAGGGGCTGAAAAGGAGGGCAAGAAAAAGAAAGGACTTGAAGCATAGCAGACATTGTTCATAACAATCGAAGTTGAATCATTTCTAATGAAATAGTTAAGGTATAACTACATAGTCTTATTCTCTTTTATCAAGGTACTTTTGGGCAGTACTATTCTGGTAGGTTAAGAAAACGAGTGTGAGTATGGTATGAATGAACGAAGAACTGTATAAATAGTGGTGGTTGAAAAAAAGCTGGAAGTATAGGATTATGTGTGATCTTGAAATATAGTACTGAAAACAGCATTCCGATACACAATAATAATAATAATAATAATAATAATAATAATATATTTCTGCAATAGCAGGTACACGGCACAAATGACTATCTACCTTTTTGTCGAAGCTATTTCACATCATTTTTATTTTTATCGGGTCATTAACAGGCTTCGTTTTTAGCGAATTATCTTACTTCCTTACGCCTGTTACTCCTTGTTGGGGAGCATAAACCGCACACCAGCCTTCTCCATCCGAACCTGGCTTGGGCATTTCTTTCCAGTTAACATTCATCCTTTTCATATGTGCTTCCATTTCCCGACGTAATGTGTTCTTTGGCCTTCCTCTTTTCCGCTTCCCTTCGGGATTCCAAGTTAGTGCAGCGAATTGTCTAGTTTTGCTTTTATTAGGATTACTCGTTAGGGATTGAAATCAATTCAAAATTGCAAACATGATTCAAAGAGGTGTTTTTCATGATAAATTAGCATCAATACAATTGGTTTGTGACATCCCACTTGACCACAAGGAGCCGTAATTTTACAACACGTCCTGCCCCACAGACATCAGTTTATTTAAATTATCTCCCCACCAACATGCTTGCTGATCAGTAAGGCCACGCTTCTCCCCTACATTGCACAGTACATCTTAGTTATTCTTTCAACAAAGGACATTGGTTAACTTCCATTTTATGACACTGTTCCAGCTCAAACGATTTTGACTTTTTTTCATTTATTCGCTTGTCATGCTGTGAAGTTAGAAAATGGCTATTGCCATCTGATCGGAATTTTGATTACCCCAACATGAGCAGAAAGTAAGGCAGGCTATAGTTGGCAATACGTGTACAAACTTCATCATTCAGTGATGGGAGATAAGAAATATAATTCCTTCATGGAATAAATAAAAGGGCTCTGAAAGTTTTTCGGATGGTTGGGTACCAACAATCGATTATTGTTTGATTAATAGCCGCCTACGTTGGGCTGCTAAACCACTCATATATGTCTAGTTTATGGAAAGCTCAAGTGAGATAGTCACTATATAAGCTACAGAAGTCTTTTCCCCAGCAACACAACCTTAGTATGGGGCTTTCCCGATAGGATTCAATGTCTTTGAGTTGTGTATACGATGCCTAAAGAAATACATGTACTGAGTGTAAAGTTGACACTATAGGGGTGTCTCCAGAGTTCCAAATGCCGGTAATGCCCATTTTATATATGTAAGAAGCTGGACTAGCGATTTCAGCAGGCTTTTGTTCAGGTCATCACATGGAACATTTGAGGAGCGAGGTTCAAACACACAAAGCTTTCCATGTTCACTAAAGGATAATAGAAAATATGTTGCCTACGCAAATGGGGTGTATGAATACCTGAGCTATAATGTTCTGACATAACCAAGATATATTTTAGCCAACTCTCAACAACCCATCCCAAGCTGTAATATCAACCTTCCCCTAAAACCAATGTCCATAGGAATATCGGTCCTATCAATTTATCAAACAGAAACATGTCAGTTTGGTCTCCACAGCCTGATGGAGGATGGTGAGCTAGTCCAGTGTTTGACCTTTGCACTTGTACAATCAATTACGGCCACCATTCAGTCAATATTCAGAGCAGCCTTATAGATATCGCATGCTTTACTAGTCTGTTATCTTGATGGCATTTTTATTATCTTCACAAATTATCGATCATGATTTACCGTACATGTCCTCTACATGGGGACCAGAGTTAGTAATGGAACGAAAGGTAACAAGACGAAGCATTCAACTGACGGGTTCAAACAGGACAAAACGCGCGTCCTTGATTACGCTGCTAGCCACCATCCATCTTTACTTATAACAGTTTCTGACGACGCTACTTTTTTCCGGACCCACGCAAAGACAAGTGAAATTCCGGGATGTTAATTTCAGCGGGTCATCTTAAATCAACTTGTACATCAGCAACACGAATTCCAAGCGTCGGATCTGGAAATCATCAGAGTGATTGTTCAAAGTCTTAAACACGGGAAAGTTCGTTACAGTTGTCCGAATTAAGGAGCAAAACTACAGAACCACTGAGCAATCTAGTGAGCGAGTTCCACATTGATGCTAATTCATGTGTCACATATGAACCGTGGTTTAAGCAATATAGAGACATTTTCCACGTTAATTTTTCTAATCTTGATGACTCTTTAAAGGCGAGAATTCTGCTTTAGAAACTTGGAGAAGACAAGCATAAAAAGTGTTCAAATCTTGTATGGCCAAATAAACTCACGATTTTTCTTTTGACACTACTACTCAGACTTCTTTCTTTTACTTGCAATTTATCTGTATCACAACTTTTAGGAGACTGTAAGATGATTCAGCTTCATATGCTTCATTTGTCAATAAACTATTCAAGAACCTCCGGTTGCATTCACTCTCAGATGAAGAATTTAAGTGCCTTATCTTTGTACATGTATTGTAATCACCGTAAGATTCAAATATCCGTACCACAATTCTGAAGTGGATAGAACCAGATCCCAATATTGTTTTGAAAGATATTACCAAAAAATGTTGCCATATTAATAACCTGAAAAGGATACAAGGATGATCGACTATTCAAACCCTAACCACACATCTAGTTCATTTGATTCGAATGAATTCCTTCCTTCGGATCACATTATTAATGTCTCATAGTATTATTAAGGGCAGTTTTCCAAACTAAATCTGATGTATAGCGTCCATGACTCTGATTCACGCCGCTCTACAGGGCCTTTCACTATTCGTTGGAGCTGTCGGGAATGGAATTTTCCCGTATCCGCCCATTCAAATGCTCGAAACGTGGAGTATTAGCCACGAGGAGGGATTTTGCAAGCGCAGCAAACTTTAATCTCATTGTTGAATGTCAAACAGAACCAATTGTGTACATGAACACAATGTATCCCTCAATACGTTTATTTATTTCTGGCAATGGTCGTACTTTCACTCTGCACCTGGCATCCGATGTAACTTTAGTTTCTCGCAAAACGTGTTCGGCCAAACATTCATTCTACTACCGACTGCACAAAGGATACATCGAGCATTCTATTTAAAATTTCCGGAACTATGAAATGTATTGTCAAATTTAACGATTCAATAATGTGGAGATTTAGTATTTTCATAGTTGAAAGCATGAGTCAATTGAAGCTAGACCATTAAAGAAAACCTGAAAGCACTGGACGGCCGTTTCGTCCTATTGTCGGACTCCTCAACAGTGCGCTTTGAGTGTACTCGAACCAGTCAATGATTTCTTATAAGCAGCACCAGTTGTGGTGGTAAAAAATAGAGCAGTCCAATTCCAGTATATGCTGGTTTTTCGACCGGACTCAACGATTCCCTAGGAATATCAGTATCCACAACCCATCCCAGATGCTCCCTTGCGCAACTAAACGGAGTCGGATTCTTCGCTAAGATTGACCCCTGTGATACGTATCTGCAGACAGAAGTTGACAAAACATCCAGAGAATTTATTCTCACTATTAAGCAGAGGCCTTTATCACTACACATGCCTTCACTTTTGGTCCGGTCAACTCCGGTCATATTCCGGCAAATCACGGATCCAATGCTTATGGACGTCACAGGTAGGTTGACTTATATGGATGAAATTATCGTTTTCGATACAACCAATGAAGAATTATTTTAACGTTCGGATATCGTTTTCGTTTGTATCAAAGATTATGGCTACAAATTGAGACAAGAT